GACACCACTGCTCTTCAGCACTTTGGAGAGGTCCCTAACAGCAGACTTTCCCATGGCAATGCGCCTTTTAATTTCCTGGCTGCTGGTGCCAAGACAGTAGTAGTTTTTAATTATTTCACACGTATGGTTATTGGTTTTTGTTTTTAACTAGAAAATATAATGTTCATTGTGCCATCTGATATGTTGACTATGAATCAAAACCTATTTTATGAAGTATTTACGGGAAGATAGCTCTGTGCTTTTAATTAACAGCTCATACAGGCAGATATTCTACCTGATAGGTTATATGGGAAAAGACAGAGCAAAGTGGAATCAGCAAAAAGTATTTCAGAGAGAACAAGAGGAAATTAGAAAAAACCCTTAATCTTAAAATGTATACTGCATTGAAACAGATGAGAGAGAGAAATGTTTAAAAGGTATACATGATTAGGTATTACTGTCTTGACATGAGTCCAGAATGAAGGCTGCATAGTGGAGTGGACTTGGGGGGAGGGACTGTATAACAAAGAAAGAATTTTTCTTTACTTTTCAAAGAGAAGAACGAACTGGAGGGGAGGGGTAAGCAGGGAGAAAAGTGCAACAATGAATGAACGGAAATCCAAAATCTCTGTAAATGTTCATTAAAATTAATAATAATAATAAAAATTACAAAAAAATACTTAATGCTCCACTTTCTGTGGAAATGAATCAGTACTTGACTGCTTTTCCCCTGACTGTAATTGTACGAAATAAAGTAAATAATTGGGAACATGTTATTATATTCTTAGACATCCACCAGAAATACAAAAGGTCCATTGTCTCTCAGAGGTAAGGTACAATCCGGGAAATAGGCTGTAGGAGGTCAGTTGGAGAAAATTAATTCCCTGAACACAAGGAGGCTTACCTTTCACAGAAAGTGTGCAGACAGGGGAGAACCTTGGGATTCTTGTACCGTTCCAGGCATATACTGCAGATCAGAAACTGCTTGTCAATCTGGCGTACCACAGGACTTGGGATGTTGGTGCCTTCACTGGCCATCCTAGACCACTGACATGGGGGTCTGGCTGTCTTTGACCCTGCACACTGCTGCTGTCAGAAAAACAGAAATGGAAAAATAGAATCGATCAGTGCAAATCTATGACTAATTCATTCATTACCACAGGTAGAATTCCATGTTAAAAAAGATGCCCTTGAGTTGATTTTGACAGTTGCAACTTGTATCTATGAGTCAGGGTAGAACAGTGTGCCATAAGGTTTTCAAAGACGGATTTTGTCAGAAGTTGATCACCAGGTCTGAAGGGCTTGAACTTTCAAACATTCCATTACTTGAAAAGCTTTATACCATTCAAGGATTCCAGAATTCCAGGTTAGTGCCCTCAAAATGACCACTGCCAACCTTTGTGATCGTAAAAGGAGTATAGTTATCTGCCTACTGTTTAATTTTAGAAATCATTAAAATAATCAAGAATATCATGCAAACAATACATGTAGAAGAGGGTGTGTCGTACTAGAACTATGTTTGCTGAATCCAAAGCAGTGGCAGCTGAAGGATGAGTACTTATCTATATAAGTGCCCATCTATAGAAACTATCCCTGCAGCTCTGACTATATTGACTGTGATTCATTTTTAGATTCCTATTAAAATGGAACATTTCCCTAACTACTGTACTCCTAATACGTAAACAAATAAACAACTTAATGTCGTTGAATTGATTCTGGCTCACAAAGACCCTCCAGGACAGAAGAGAACAGGACTGCCCTACAGGGTTGTTCCAAGGCTGTAAATCTTTACAGAAGCAGATTGCTACATCTTTCTCTTATGGAACAGTTGATGGGTACCAACTGCGGGCCTTTCCATTACCAGTGATTAGCCACTGTGCTGTAGAATTTTAAATGTAAACCTTTCTAAGTGGTTCAGAACGTTTTCTTCAGAGTAGAAGGTTTGTAGATTTGGAACTAAAATATATTTTCCACAGGACAGCCAGAAAGGCCTAGAGGTCATCCTTGTCTTGTGGAGTTGGAAATGACTCAGAGTTGATGCCCTGGCAGGTTTCCAGAGGCTGTGAATTGCATGGGAGGGGAATTCCCATCTTTCTCCTGAGGAAACGAATGGATTCAAACTGGATACCTTTGGGTTGGGAGCTCAACCAACTTCTTACCACTAGGTCATCAGGGGGAAATCTGTATTCCTGTGTTGGCAGTTAAGAGATCTAGTGAAGTGAATTGGGTTCAAGAGGTTTCAAAACTTGAGGGATCTAACTCATGTCAGAAAAGGAGAGTTAGAAGAGGGTCATAGAGGAAAAAAGTGGAGAAACAGAATCAATGAGGGGGGAAAAGGAGGCAAAGTCACAACAAAACACAGCTCCATTTATTACCTTAAAGAATGTCTGGCTTCTGTCTGAGAAGGGTAGACCAAAACTGAGCTACAGTACATGGCCTAATTTTCTAAATATTTGGTTAAGTTTCCACAACCCTCCAATTACCAAATAGAAATAACCTTTTACCAATTGTTATAGAAAGACATCACGCTTTTAAGGGTGGAAGGACAGCACAGGAGAGGAAGACCCCGGAGGAGATGGATTGACACAGTAACTGGGGTAATGAGGGTAGGTTTGTTGAAGTCAGGGAGACTGGCTCAGGACAGGGCAGGCTTCAGAGTCACTTCAGGTCACTATGGGTCGCAGGCAACTCAATGGCACATAAAAACAACAATCTTAATATAAACCTTGTTTGTTGTTGTTATGTGTCATTGAGTCCTACAGCTACTCATAGGGACCTTAGGTAGGAGGTAGTATTCTTCTTGTCATATATAGATAAATTGGGACTCCCTTAAGATTTTTCAGAAAATAAATGCAAGTATCTATGTCTCTTAGAGAGGTGGACAATGACTAGAGAGGACAGAAGGAGAATTGATGCCTTTGAGCTGTGGTTCTGGAGAAGAGTACTGAATGTACCATGGACTGCTCAGAAAACAAACAGATTCATCCTCGAGAGGGTTAAACCAAGCTACTCCTTGGAGGCAAGGATTCTGGGGCTTCGTCTGATATACTTTGGGCATGTTGCAAGGAGGGACAGGTCCTTGGAGAGGGACATCATGCTTGGGAGGGTTGAGGGACGGCCCAGGAGAGGAAGACCCTCTATGAGATGGATTGATTCAGTGACTGGGGTAATCGGGATGGGTGTGTCAGAGGCAGTGCGATTGGCACAGGATAGAGCAGGGTTTAGGGCTGTTGTACATAGGGTCGGTATGAGTTGCAAACGACTTGATGGCACATAACAACAACAACAACAAATCTATGTCTCTAAAGCTCTTGAGCCACCCCCCCCTTCATAAACCCCAACGCTCCCCTTGGAGAAGGCACTGTGTAGAAACAGAAGCTTGTTTCTACAAAGGACTGTAACTTGTCCTAAGACCTGTGTCTGAAGCTGAGAAATACGCCATATTAATAGAGGCAACAATTCTAGTCTTTACTAAATACAAATGGTAATTCTTCCTACATTCTACCAAATAAAATTTTTGAAAAATGTTTTTAAATGGGAAGTAAATTCTGTGATTTATACATATTTGAGTTTTGTTACATATGTGACAGGCATTTTCCAGATCTGTGCATTCTAGATCAATTAAGGAGTTTGATTAATAACAAGATTCACTCAGTCACTCAATACCATTTATCTAGTCAAAGCTGATGCATAGTTGACCCTCCCATGGGCTTTCAGAGGCTGTAAATCGCTCAGGAGGAGACTGTCTTTCTCCCTTGAGCTGCTAGGGGATTTGAACTGCCAGAAAAATGCTACCGTTGGATTAGCTGTGCGATTCTCTGCAGATTACACCATCGAGCTCCCTCCAAAGCAGAAAGAACCCTGCAAAAGCAGCACTTGCTTGCTAGAATGTCGCATTCAGACAGAACTCACTGCACTCTCCCTAAGGAACTTGAGCCGAGAATAATGTTCATTGATTGGATCAAATGTAGCTCCTCTCCTAGGAGCTCAAAGTATGGCCAGGTCCTCTGCTTTTCTTTAACCACATCCCTATGACATCAGCATAGAAAAGGAATGGATTTCAGGCTGAAAGATAAGGAAACCAAAGCTGAGGGGTTAAAGGATTTGCTCAAGGCCAGCCAGTAAAATCAGTTACTCTGAAAGCTCGGGTTCCAAGTTTCTGATAATTAGATGATATGTAGTCTTAAGTTAACATCCGACTGGCTCATTCATTATTAGGTAACAGAAGTGTGTGAATTATAAAGGGTATTGAACTCATCAAATAGAAACAATTTTGTTTTCAATAGTTTTAAAAATTTTTCATACTACCCTTTGAAATAATAACTTTCATGTTGGGTACTGAAATAAGCAGAAAGAAAACATACTGGATTTTAATCACTTAAAAAAATCTTAGTGAAAAGCAATGTATGTGAATTTTGTAAATAAACTAGTATAAACAATGTAAAATAGAATGTATATGAATGATTGTATGAAATACAATGTAAATGAAAGATGGTATAAAACAATTAATATATGAAAACCAATAAAAATATTTTTAGAAAATCTCAGAAGTTTGATTTCTAACAAAGAAATGACATATGTTGACTGCAATTTTCTGAGCTGACATTTCTATGTCCTAAATCTGAAAGAAATATTTCATTCTAATTATAATGAATTACTAGAGAAGGTGAAAGCAAGTCTTTGTTAGTTCTCTACTTCACAGTAGATTAATTAAGCTTACTCATTAACACAAATTTAAAAGCATTGTAATACCATGGATTTGTCACAAATGACCTGTTGAAGACATCTGGATTTTTAGGGCTCCCAGGATCAACATAAAAGTTTTCAACTTATAAAGATCCCCAAACCAAAACTTTGCCAGGATAATCCTTGTAATATACAACTGGATGCCCATAATATGAAGATAAATTGAGTATTTCTAAAGGAATGCTTAGAATTGAGGCTTCTAGTGTGCTAATAAGCACAGTGGGAAGTCTTCCATCCGCCTGCATGTGCCAGGAGGAACATACACAAAATATGCTGCAACCTTGAATCAAAGTGGCTGGGTGTTAACACAACTTCTGGTGTCCTTGACTAGAAAAGCAATATATGTTATCTAACCCCCAGCCTACTTCCCTTTCCCCATCTCTGTTTCTGACTGATTTTGCATAGCCAGCAGAAACAAATTCATGATAATTAAGGAGATGAAAATATAAAACTCCTCTTTTTCTAAAGATGAGAAAATAGCAAAACAAAATTTCTAGAGAGATATACATGGGAAAGATGCCTGGGGTGGGCTTTGTCTCTGTTGGAGGCCTGGCTTAATACAGGAATAAACAACAGAGGTATTGTTGTCAAAAGGTCAACAAGAGAGGAAATGCTGGAGAAGCAATGGCAGAAAAAGCCATTTAAAAATGACTTGGATGCACAAACATTTTGATTGATTTGATACATTTGGATCAATAGTTTGATATAGGCATTAATTAGCCAGCTATAAGAGCTTTTCTGTGGGGAGACTAGCTGTGGTTCTCAGACAGCGGAAAACAGAGGGCAACTCTTTGGACACAGGTGCTCACCCTCTTCTCCAGCTTTGCTCATGTCGCCTTCTCAGCCCAGACTCATCTCTTGACCATTCAGCTTAAACAGGCAACTTGATCAGTTGTCTACCACTCCCGACTCCTGTTTTTGCTCTAGTTTTCTCCATAGCACTCCACAGTTGGTGGTGCCATCGAGTCACGTATGACCCATAGTGACCCTATGAACAACACATTTGAACCCTGTCCTGTCCTGTGCCACCCTCATCATCTCCAACACACTTGAGCTCACTGCTGCAGTCACTTGTGCCAATCCATCTGGCTGAAGGTCTCTCTTCTCCTTTAGTGACTCTACCTTTCAAAGCATGATGTCCCTTTCCAAGAAATCCTAACAACATGCTCAAAATACGTGAGATGAAGCTTCGTCCTCCTTGCCTCTTTAGGAGCACTCTGGATGCACTTTCTCCAAGATGTATACAATATTAGAAGTATTGTTGTTGTTGCTGATTGCCGTAGAATCAAGTACGACTCATAGCGACCCTAAGAACAAAAGACCTAAAGCCTTTCTATAACTAT